GGCATTACAATATAGGCTTTTAGGGTGAGTTTAGCCCAGAGATGCTGGTGCAAGTTGTAAAGCATTGAACAACTTTCAGTTTTTATTAAGTTTATTCCTACCATGTGTTCTTCTAACATGGTTCGAATATCAAGCAAAAGCAAATGGAGTTGTACAATAATTAACAACTTGCAACAGCATCTCTGGGCTAAACTCACCCTAAAAGCCTATATTGTAATGCCATATCCAAGAAGCCACACATACAAAAGCTGCTGCATATTTGTATATTTCACTTAAAATCTTTAGAAAGAATGAGGACCAGCGGCTTCTTTCTGGGGGCATTCACAGATAGTAGCTAAAATCAGCCACAGGGACTGAAACAGAAACCTGAACTAACTCCCTAACCTTGACTTGTAGATATTCCACAAAGACAACAGCCTTTGAATGGAAATACGTGAATATGAAATAATTCAAATAATACCATTTTCCCCTGTAAGCATGGCCGTATAAAGTTGAGACAGTGCTCTCACACTATTGTTTAATTCTTCCATTTTTGCCTCCTCAGGCATTTTATCATTATCAGACCATCGGTGACGTTCAAACAGAGTTATGGTGAGATCTGTCCACTCATGTTGCAGCTGCTCAGTATCCAGTAGATCTTCTTGAGCAGTTAAGAATAATGACCCCTCATATCGTGTATAATCTTGAGTAATCATCTGAGGAAAACAAAAAAAAAATACCCTAGAGAAATGAGTCAGATTTATTCAGACCATAGCTAAAGAAAATCACATTTCTAATTTAAGCATCCTTTTGACCAATTTTGGATCACAAATCACTGAATGAGGTGCCATAACGAAAAGGAAACTACAAAATGCCATGACAAAATATCATCATTCTAATCTGCTGGCACCTAGGAAAAGTACTACAGGAGTCAATTCTACTGGTTGTGAGCTCTTCCACTCACTATAATTGAATAAACGTTTGCCATACAGGAAGATTTCTTAATTGATTTGAGTTGAAGTATTGTGTTGCACAACAGCAGAGTGAATTGTACAGCTTTAAGAAAACACCATAGGCTGTTTACATTGGAAATGTGCATCAAGGTTAAACAACTCAGTGTGTGGAACGTTACGGCTCAAAGTTCATTTCACGTTGTAAAAGTGAATCGCAATAAACTCATCCCAAAATTAAGTCAGGGCAATATCTTTTCATTGTAAATAGCATGAAATGTTTACTTCAAATCTTCACCCCAAAGTTGCAATATCTATGGATACTCTCTACAAAGACTTCCTTAACAAGGTTCCACAAAAGAGATTATTTGCAAAAATGAGGCAAGTGAAACTGGTGTCAATTTTAAGACATGGATTGAAAATTGCAGGGAAGTTCAAATCAAAGGAAGTCATACTCAAACTGTATTGTGTGCAGTCCTCTTCACACCTTGAGTACGGTGAACAGTCTGGTCACTGAGTTACATGAAGACATTCAACTAACAGAAGCCATGCAGGCAGAGCCTAAAGATTGGTATCTCATGCTAGAAGTTTACGAGAAGATTAAAGTAAATTTGAAATTTGCAGTCTCAAAAGGAGACAATTACTTGGTGATTTTACAAAATACAAGTGATGATAAACTGTGCAAAAAGGATATAACCTATAAATTACTTTAAATTATGAGCAGAACAACAAGACACCGGGTTTAAATGAATTAAAAGTAAACATAGAGCCACATCAGAAAGCTCATCTTCCTACAAATCATGATAAATATGTGGAACAGAGTTAATTCAGAAAAACCAACATTGAAAAATCTACAATTATCTATGAAACAACTGAATGCTACGCTGAGGTCATGTGATTTTTCCAGATGGTTGGCCTAGAGATAGACAAAAAATAAACTCTCTCATCTGTAATTGCTTTGCAATTGGCTTATGTGAAACATTGATTCATCATCCTTAATATGTGTGAGCATCTTCATTATTGCAAAAATGTGGAGTCATCTTGTAAATGAATCTGTTTAAAGTAAAGACAAACCTGGGTGTAGGCACAGCATATCCATATCCACAAACAGCTGTTTTATAAAGTATGCAGCAGTCATCAAAATGAGACACACTGGACACAGAATTGCTTTCCACTTCAAACATCAAACATTACCAGGTCAGATACAAACTGAGCCTTCTTTGTCCTTCTACCATACAAATAAATTCAAAATCAGAATAGTATGCTTTACCACAGAGGCTCACAAACCTTTGTCTCACTGATTGCATATACTACTCTATGACTCAATATAAAGTTAACTCTGGGCTGGATTTAGTAGTTCCTGCTTTTACTAAATGTGGGGTGGAATCTTGAACGATGGCTAACCTCTCCCTGCTGCCCCAACTTGCCCCAACCAATATGAAAGCCTACTGGATCATGCAACATTCATGCACTTAAGTACTATCCAGTGGACTTCAGAGGCCAGCACCCACTGGGAGCTGGACTACATTGACACTGGCCCAGGCTGCAGAGTTTGGAAGCTTACTGCCAAGAACTTCATTTCTGAGATGGGGAAAAGGGGGCAGGTTTCTTGCCAGTGCCAAAGTGCCCGATTATTCGACCTTTGTGCCACCTGCCCTGTTACCTCTGTGGAAGGGAAACTCTCTTTTCCCCATTAATTTGCATACATTTTAGACTGAACACAGAAACAGATCAAAATATTACCATTTAGAATATAACCAATCTGGCAATGGCATTTCACATTGCACCTGAACAACCATCTCACCATGAACCAGCAAATGAAAAAATGTAAACAGAGTTGGTTACTTGGGCTTCCAGGGTCAGATATCCAGCAAAGAGAGTAGACATTCACCTCATCAGTTTATACCAGATTTGGCTTCGGTATTCAATGAACATCGTCCAGTCTCTCAATGGGTCAGGCTCTGAACAACTATTTTAGATATCCTTGGTCTGCAATGCTGGTTTAAAATGTCCACTTACATTAGCTATTCTTGTGGTCTGACTGACAGTGTGCTGTATACTAAATTAAGGATAAATTTGCAATGTCTATATGAGCCTGTTCAAACTCATTTTACAAGAAACCTTGCAGCCACCAAAAAGAAAAAAGGTTCATTTCATTAGTTGAGGCCAAGTTTGGCTCCAGTGATAAAAGGGCAGTGACTACCCACCCTCACTTCTCTTTTCAAGGCAACTGTTACAAGACCTTCTTGAATTCTGATAGAGATAAATAACTAATTACAAAGGATTTGCACCATCAAAAATATGAAAGATAATCTGTGAAAAAGAAAATTTCTGATGAATAAATGATGAAAAGACAACTCAAATGATAAAACTAAGGTGTGTACTGGAGAAATTTTAAAAATGTAAGAATCTGATTACATTGCCATTGAGATTTAAGATTTAACAGCATTTAACATTAACAGTAAATGTATAGGGCTGGGTTTTATGAGCACCATGGACCAACCTTCCTAACTAAAAAGTCAGGGTAAAGGCCTGCTACACCCACAGCAGCTGCCCTGCGCAATTTAATGTTCAGAGCACCAATCCTTTGGGAGCAACCTCCGCCTCTCTCAATAGGAAGTGCAGCCTTGGAGAGCTGGCCAATCAGACAGCTAAAAGCTCTGAGCTGTCAGCAGTTAACCACCACTCATCTTAGTGTTCCATCATCGCAAGAAGCCCAGCTAAGTGTGGGGTTAGGGGGCTCTCTGGGGCTGACTGACTATGCCTCAGCTAGAGACACAATGGTGGTTAGGGCTCCGGTTCAAAAGGCTAGAGACAAGGGTTAAAGGGGAAGATGAGTCAAGAGCTGGCGGGTTTGCCTCCATTGGACTCAGGCAACTCATCATAGAGGGGTTCACCCCTTTTACCTTATACCAGCTAAAGCTGACAGTTTTCTTGCATGGTCTGGACCTACCCTTGCTATAGGGAACATACTGTTGGTGGAAGGATGAGTCCCTTAAGTGGTCATTAATTGGCCACTCAGCTGCCTCAATAACTCCAAGGGCAGGTGACTACCCAACATCTACCATAGCACCTGCAAACTTTCAGAAAGTTTGGGTGGGCAGCAGCAAGTCCGCCTGCTGAATTTAACAGGTCCCTCCACTGAATAAGTGTGAAATTCACACCTAGTATTACCCGAATCCATTTAAACGTTCATGATTTTATTTCATCTGGCTTTCAGAATCTGACTTTTGGGAAAAACCTGCAATAGCAAGATGATTTAAATAAAATGCTCACCTCATGAAAGTATTTCATATCACTTCTCAGCAAATACAACATTTCTCTCGGAATAGACTTGATTCCCAGAGGACTCCTAAAAGAACAGTAAATGTCAAAAATATACCTCTGTATTTGAAAATGATGCATAGGTAGTCACAAACATCAATAGTTTTGGTTAAGGGCTTCCCCAAGTATGTTCATTGTGTTCTAAATAAAACCAATGCATATAAATTAAACTCATCCTGTCATCAAGCTACAAAATATGTATTTTTATGCTTGTCTTCATTACCTTATGGACTTTTCATTTCAGTATTGAATATATACTTTGTTAAATTCATATTCATTAGACTGAACACACTATGAAAATATGCTAGTGTTTCACCCAGAGAGTGATTATGTTCATTTTTATACTTGTAAGTTAGCTCTACTTCCCAGAGTGCAGAACAATGTAACTTCTTCAGTCCAGATTGATCTGACAAATGCCTTTCTTGATTTTGAAATTTCCTGTTTTATATGATATAGTATCCTAACCACAAATACGTGAACCAGATATAAACACTATTACAAACATGAGGTTTGCAAGATTGTTTTGTTTTGAGATTATTTATTTGATTTGTGATCTGTTTTGAAATCTGCTGACAACAAGCCTACAAGTTTAGATGTGATTATTAGGAAGAATATGCAAAGTATTCCCATCTCTAAACAGTAACCAGAAAAGATATGCTAATGGTAGGTAGACTGTTAGTCTTCAAGTCACAGGTAGTTGTTAGTCATGTCAAATTTTGTAAATGGTTATACTTTAGTCTGTCTAGTTAATTCCAAGATGATTTCAATTTGGGCAAATGGTGTTGAGGAAAGATAATAACCATTTCGACAGGAATACAAGGTCCACAGTGATTAACAAAGATGTGCTATGAGAGAAGACAAGTCTTTTGGAATCCATTGTGGAGCAAATCGGTGTTCCTAAAGATATCACTGAATCTCACAGACAGGACCTCTCACCAAGAATCTGAGAGAAACAGAGGAAGAGAGAGAACAGACATACAAGTTGCAAACCTCTATTATTCAACATGCAAAGTGTGGATGCGAGTTCACACTTGGATTTAGGGCAACATGGTTGTGAAGGTTTAAACAAAACTGGAACATTTGCCTAGTATTGGCTTGACAGAAAGATCTCCAGGGTAACTTACACCTTAAAAGTCAGTTCAGGGATTAGAAATTGTCCACTGGGAAAAGAAAAACAAGCTGAGAATCAAATTAGACTAGTTCCTGGTGAATGAAGTGTTCATTTAAAGATCAGAGCCAAGTATAGCTATGACAGGGAATTCTTGATCATTATACAAGTTAAATGTGGGATCTTTTCTGTAGTTTAAGAGTATAAGTTGCCTTCTGAAGTAGTGCTTAAATTGCTATTAATTTTAATTTGTCATGCTAAAAGCCTTAAACTTGAGAACTTATTGTGTGACTTTTCTGCCATTCACTGGAAGATTGAACCTTATAAAAGTTATAAAAAGTCATAAAACTTTGCCTTGAATTAAATCTTTGACCAAGCTTCCACTGGTTTCAGCAGAGGAGAATTCTGTGTACTAGTGACCCTCTGAAAGAAACACAATCTCATTATCACTTTCTAAAATCTCTTAATTTTAAATTCTATCCCTAGTTCTCATCTCCAGAACAAAAGGAAACATGCTCTATATTCAAGACCCCTCAAGATCTTACATCTATCAATAAGATCACCTCACATTCTTCTACACTCCAATGGATTCAACCTTTCAATGTGTTTATTCATAAGTTAAGCCCCTCAACCCAGGAATGAGTCAAGCGAACCCTCTTTAAGCCATTTTGATTGCAATTATACATTCTTATGACATGGAGATGCATCGATGAAAGTTCGCCATTTTCGAGTTGAAAGTGTGATTTTTTTTCTAACTTATTTGGAACAATTCTCTAATTTAAGAAAGCTGGGATGAATAAAGATTTTGTGCAAATGCCAAAGAAATTTAAATATGTAAAATTCATAAAATTGCCAGGCAAATATTTGAACAAATTTATTGCTGCAACCTTTCCTGTTAGTATTAGTCTCAATATGTTAATTCATTTAACAAAGCTGGAATATGATATATGTGAATGAAGTTGGTTTTTAACTACTTATTTATGGTGACAAAGCTAAAACAGTCAAGAGCATGCTAACTCTAACCTGAAATGCTCCATTTTTGTCAAATCCTTCAAGTTGTCAAATGCTTAATGAGTATAGTCTCTGGTCAAATAATTTATTTTTTCCAGACTGACATTAAATTTCCCTTAGTTGACCACAAGACTCTAGGGACAAGAGATTAGGATAAAACATCCCTTTCATGGCCCTAATTACTGTTCTTCAGCTGAAAAGTATAGATATGCAGACATCAGAAGGGGTCTAGAGTAGCTGAGATGCAACCAAAGTTAAACAATCTATTAAACTAAATTCATGGTTTACACTTGAAAAATGGCAACTTGCCAAGGCTCCAGCATAAGACCATAAGAAATAGGAACAGGAGTAGGCCATTCGGTCCCTCGAGCATGCTCCAACATTCAATCGAATTGTGGATACTCTGACATTCCTCCATCCTGACAAAGGGTTTTGGCCCAAAACATGGTTTTCCTGCTCCTTGGATGCTGTCTGACCTGGTGTGCTTTTCCAGCCTCACACCTATAGATTCCTCATAGCCACTTTCCTGCATTTTCACCATATAACCATTCAGTCCCTGACTGATCAAGAAGTAATCTATCCTCGCCTTGAATATACACAAGGGCTCTGCCACCACAGTTGTCTGTGGCAAGGATTTCCAAAGACTCATAAGCCTGTGAGAGAAGAAATTCCTCCTCATCTCAGTCTTAAATGGGTGCCCCTTTATTCTGAGACTATGCTGTCTGGTTCCAGACTCTCCCATGAGGGGAAACATCCTCTCAGCATTTACCCTGTCAAGCCTTTAAAATTCCAGCACATTTCACTTGAATCACCTCTCATTATTTTAAACTCCAGTGAGTAGAGTCCCAACCTGTTTAACCTTTGCTGATAAGACAATCTCTCCATACTGGGGACGATTCTAGTGAAACTTCTCTGAACTGCCTCCAATGAAATGCTATATTTCCTTAAATAAGGGGTCCAAAAATTCTCTTCAGTATTCCAAATATGATTTCACCAGCACCTTCTACAACTGCAGTAAAACTTCCCTACTCTTATAGGTCAACCCTTGAAATAATGGCTAATATTACATTACGCACAAGTCCATTTCAGTTGCAGCTTTCTGCAATTTCTCTCCAATTAAATAATAGTCTGTTCTTCAGTTATTCCTTCTAAAATGGACAACTTTCCACATTGTGCTCTATTTGCCAACTTTCTTAACCTATCAATAACTCTCTAAACTGTTTGTATCCCTCTTGTAACCTGCCTTTCCACCTATTGTTGTGAAACCTGCACATTTGGCTGCAGTACGTTCGCTTCCTTCCTCCAAGTCCTTAATATATATCATAAACAGTTGTGGTCCCAGCACTAATCCCTGTGAAATCCCACTGGTCATGAGTTGCAAACCTGGAAATGAACATCTTATTCCCACATGCTGTTTCTTACACATTAGCCAATTCTCTATCCATGCCAATATATTACCAACTACACCATGGGTTTTTATTTTAGGACTTGCTCCTTTGTGAGGGACCTTGTCGAATGCCTTCTGGAAGTACAAATGGCAACACATCTACTGATTCCCCTGTATCTACTTTGATTGAGACTGCATGAAAACTGTAATAAATTAGTCAAATGCTATTTCCCTTTCATGAAGCTATGCTGACACTGCTTAATTAGATTTTGATTTTCCAAATGTTCTACTATTCCTTAATAATTGATTCCAATACTTTTCCAACAATAGATATTTGGCTAACTAACCTTTAGTTACCTACTTCTTGCATTCATCCCTTTTTGAATAGAGATGTCACATTGGTAGTTTTCCAGTGCTCTGGTGCTTCTCAAGAATCCAAAGATTTTTGGAAAATTACAACCATTGCATTCACTATTTCTACAGATAGCTCTCTTAAGATCCTAGGATGCAAGCCATGTAGGCCAGGAAACTTTAGCCCCATTAGTTTGCCGAATACTACTTCTCTCGTGATAGTGCTTTAGTGATAATTGCTTTACTGTACTCTTCAGTATTAATAGGATGTTTGAAGTATCATCCACTGTAAAGACTGATGCAAATTATCTTATTAACTCCTCTGCCTCTCCATAACCATCACCTGAATTCATCTAAATTTATTCTGAATTTATTCCAGTCTTCAGGGCTATCACTGACTTTAGCCTTTTTATACGCTCTTTCTTTCACCTTAATACTTGCCTTAACTTTCTTGGTTAGCTTCTCATGCTCTTAGAGTCCTTCTTCTTTACTGGGATATATTTTGGATGAGAGTCATGAATTACCTCCTTAAATGTCTGCCACTACTTGTTTACTATCATTCCTCCTAATTTATTTGCCCAGTTCACTTTAGTCAACTCCATTCTCACTTTATTTGCAATTCCCTTTATTTAAGCTAAACTGTTTCTGACACAAGTTTCTCACTCTCAAACTAAATATTAAATTCTATCACTACTTCCTTGGAGATATTTCACTCTGAGGTCATTTACTAAACCTGCCTCATTACCCATTACCAGAACCAAGATAGTTTGCTCCCTAGTTGGCTCCATGACAAAACTATCCCTAATGCACTCTATGAATTTGTTGTCGTTGTTACCCTTTCCAATTTGATTGACCCAATCAACATGAAGATTAAAGTCACCCATAATTATTGCTTTATTCTTTTATTAGGCACTTATTTATTGATTTATAGCCTTTCTGACAGATTGGAAAGGGGGCCTGTACACTCCTCCTATCGATGTCTTCTTTCTCGTGTTTTTTTTTTAAAACTGCACCCAAACGGACTCAACGTCATACAAACCTAGATCATCTCTTAGAAGTGTCCTCATTTAATCTCTTATTAACAGTGCTAACCCACCAACTTTTCCATCCCTCCTATCTCTCCAAAAGATCAAATATCCTTGAATGTTAAGTTCCCAGTTTTGATCGCCTTTTAGTCACGTTTCTGTAATGACTATGAGTACATATTCATTTATCTCAATTTGCACTATCAATTTGTCTACCTCAATCCAAATGTTTCGTTAAGTTAAAATACAAAGCCTTTAAGTTTGTTCTATTATCGAACTTCCCTATTCTTTTATGGTTCCTTGCTGTAATATGACATTCACACATTCTATCCCTTCCTTTTATTTTCTAGTAACAATTATCCTGATCACTAATTTGCAATCCTTCCTTCTCCTTTACCTTTCAATTTCTAATTTTTCATATAACTGAACCCACCCATGGTTGTCAATAGCAAATGTTTGGCTCAGTTTGAGGCTGTGACTCGGAGTCAGGGAGGGGGCAATAAAAATAACAGAAAACTATGCAGGTGCAGATTATACAAGTACTGATATGCAAAATGCTATTTTAAATCAGACAGGTGCGGCCAATTTGGACATAAACTACTTGAAGTTCAAAAGTACTTTCTGTACTACTTCCAAAACAGCACTCTGGAATATCAGAGATAACAAGGTGTAGAGCTGGATGAACACAGCAGGCCAAGCAGCATCGGAGGAGCAGGAAGGCTGACGTTTCGGGCCTAGATGCTGCTTGGCCTGCTGTGTTCATCCAGCTCTACACCTTGTTATCTCAGATTCTCCAGCGTCTGCAGTTCCTACTATCACTGGAATATCAGCTTGACCCTGTAGTTCAAGTCATACTTCAGAACTTGGGCTCATAATCTCGGCTGAGAATTCAAACTTAAGGGAGTGCTGCAGTATTCAAAATGGCATTTAACATAGTCTCACCTATAGCTTTAAGTGGCTACTACTTCGCAAAAATTAGCTGTCATCCTAGTCTAAGAACACTGTCTAATTTCAATAATTAAAATTTTCAAAAACTTTAAAACAGGTGCAAAATACTTTAAAAATGTGAAATATTCTACACAAATGCAAGTCACTTCTTTATTTACTAAAACAAATTTGGGTCCATCTAACTTGCACTCTAGAATACAGCCTGAGAATGGGAAAACGCAAGCAAGAATCAGTTGAAATTTGGAAGTTTTTATCTGAGGCATCAAGTGACTCAGTATAGCACTATGTTCAAGAAATCCAAATGGTTGATAATACTTACGAAATTTTGTCAGAAAAATATTTATGCCATTTCTTGAAGCCAAATAAAATCTGCTCTCTTTTTTCATAACTTGAATTCTCTGCAGCTTCAAGAATTTTAGAAAACTTATTCATCAGCTTTCTCCACTGCGCAGTAATTTGCTGTAGCTTGGTCTGGTCTTCTGCATCCTATCAGGATGGAGTTAAAACAGCAAATAAGTTTGTTATTTAGCAATAGTATAAGATGTTGGTGGTAGGGTATTTAAGGAGATGAATCTCTGCAAAATGATCTTTAACTCCATTCTATAACAAGCCTCTCAATACAAAACAAAAACAGAAGCTGCTGGAAAAGCTCAGCAGTTCTGGCGGAACACCCGAAACATTAACTCTGATTTTTCTTCACAGATGGTGCTAGACCTGCTGAGCTTTTCCAGCAACTTCCATCTTTGTACCTGATTTACAGCATCCGCAGTTCTTTCAGTTTTTCTCTCAATATGAAAGCAAGATGTGACAGATGCTGGAAACCTGAAATAAAAACCACTCAGGAAACACAACCACTATGACCACAGGAGCCCTTTGTCTTAGGCAGCAGAGCTTTGGTGGATCTCAAGTATACACGGGAGACAGGCAAGGTGTCCAAAGAATAGTTAAATCTCAAAGTTACTTCGGCATGGATGAGAGTTTCAATAGCAAATGAGTGGAGGCAAGGATGTAGGTGGGTGATGTTGCCAAGATGGAAATACGCAGCCTTGGTAATGGTGTAGATGTGCATTTGGAAACTCATCTCTGAGTTTTAGAGAGAATGTGGGTGTGGGGGGTGATGGCGGGGTGCAGAGATCTCATAGAAACCTATAAAATTCTAACAGGACAACACGGGGCGAACACAGGAAAGATGTTTCCTATGACAGGGACTCTAGAACCAGGGTCATAGCTTAAGGATGCTATGTAGGTCATTTAGGACTGAAATGAGGAGAAACATCTTCAACGAGAGAGTGGGGAGCCCATGGAATATTCTGACACAGAAAGCAGCTGGAGCCAAAACATTCATCTTTTTCAAGGAGTTAGACGTAGTCCTTAGGATTAAAGGGATCAAAGAATATGGGGAGAAAATGGGAACAGGGTAGTGAGTTGCAAGATCAGCCATGATCAGACTGAATAGGGGAGCAGGTTTAAAGGGTCGAATGGCTTACTCCTGCTCCTATTTTCTCTGTTTCTATGGGTCATATAGGACACCAAGGTTGGAAACAACCTGGTCCATACAATTGCCTGGGAGATGGATGTGGTCAGTAGCTAGGGAACATTGTTAGGGAACTGAAGATGATGATTTCAATTTTCCTAATGTCTATATGGAAGAAATTTCTGCTCATCAGATATTGAATGTCAGACAAGAAATCTGACAATATAGACACAACAGTGAGGTGACAGTAAGGTGGAGCTCAGTGTTCAGCACACATGTGAAAACTGTCACTGCTTTGAGATTACATTGTTCAGGGCTTGATAAGTGCTGGAGATCTTGAAAATATAAAGGTGGATAAATCTCCAGGACCTGATCGAGTGTATCCCAGGACTTTGTGGGAAGTTAGAGAAGAAATTGCGAGAGACCTTGCAGAAATATTTGTATCATCTATAACTATGGGTGAGGTGCCAGATGACAGGAGAGTGGCTAATGTTGTGCCTTTGTTCAAGAAGGGTTTTAAGGAGAAGCGTGGGAACTACAGACCTGTGAATCTGACTTCAGTGATGGGTAAGTTCATGGAAGTGATTCTGAAATATAGGATGTATATGCATTCGGAGAGGAAAAGAATGATTAGGGATAGTCAGCATGGTTTCGTGAGAGGGAAATCATGTCTTAGAAACTTGATGGAGTTTTTTGGGTAAGTGACCAAGAAAATTGATAAGGGCAGAGCAGCAGACATTGTCAAAGGCTTTACTAAAGTCCAAGAAAACAATGTTCTTCATGTTAGGCTAAATAGTAAAGTCGGATCATATGGGTTTCAGGGTAAGCTTGCTAATTGGACATACAATTGGCTTAATGGCAGGAGACAGAGAGTGATAATGGAGGGTTGTTTTTTAAACTGGAGGCCTGTGACTAGCGTTAATCCACAGGGATCAGTGCTGGGTCCACTTTTGTTTATCATTTATATAAATTATGTACATGAGAATATGGAAGACATGTTTAGTAAAATAGTGGATGACACAAAGATTGGTGCTCTAGTGGACAATGAAGAAGGTTACCTAAGATTAGAGAGATCTTGATCAACTGCGTCAATGACGGAGGGGTGGCAGATAGAGTTTAATTTGGATAATTATGAGGTACCGCATTTGGTAAAACAAACAAGGTCACGTCTTGGGTAGTGTTGTAGAACAGAGAGACCTCGGGGATCAGGTACATAATTCTTTGAAATTTGAATCACAGGCAGAGTGGTTATGATGGTGTTTAGCATGCTTGCCTTCATTCCTCAGACCTTTGAGTATAGGAGTTGGGGCGTTATGTTGAGGTTGTACAGGACATAGGTGAGGTCTCTTCTGGAGTCCTGCCTCCAGTTCTGATTGTCCTGTTATAGGAAGGATATTATTAAGCTGGAGAGGTTCAGAAGAGATTTATCAGGATGTTTCCAGGAATGGAAGGTTTGAGTTATAAACAGGGGTTGAATAGAATGGGATTTTTTTCACTGGAGCATAGGAGGTTGAGGGGTGACCTTATAGAGGCTTATAAAATCATGAGGAGTGTAGATAAGGTGAATGGCAGCTGTCTTTTCCCGAGGGTGGGGGATTTCAAGGTTAGGGAGCATACCTTTAAGGTGAGAGCAGAAAAATTTTAAAAAGACATGACAGACACTTTTTTATATATATACAGAGCGTGGTTCATCTGTGGAACGAACTTCCAGAGGAAGTGGTGGATGCGGATACAGTTATAACATTTAAAAGACATTTGAAGAAGTACATGAATAGGAAATATTTGGAGGGATTTGGGCCAAGTGCAGGCAGGTGGGGCTAGTTTAGTTTGGGATTATGGTCAGCATGGACTGATTAGATTGAGGGGTCTGTTTCCATGCTATATGACTCAATGACTCTAAGAAAAAGGAGGCCAAGGGGATACCACAGATAACTGTGGGAGTAAGGGGTGAAGCTATTCTCTGGCTATGTTTGTGGAGGTAAGAGTGGAGCCAGTTGAGAGCAGTACCACTCAGCTGTATTGTTGTAAGAGATATGTTTGCAACTAGCACCCAGTTCTGCTAGAACCATCCTTTGGGTGATATGCTGCCGTCAACACTTATAACACTAGCTCATGGGGTTTACTAGTATTAAGTAGTGATAAATCTTTGGCAGAAGAGTAACAATAAATAGTTTATTATATGATGGTCAGGAACAAGTTACCATATCATTTAAATGGCTATCTCCATGAGTATTATGTAATAGTCGCTGCTATCAAGCAGACCTACATGTTCAAGGATTTTGGAGAGGAAGGAAACTGGGAAAGAAGGCTAGTGGGTTGCAAAGATGATAGGATGAAGATCTTGTTTCTTGAGAAGATTTTTGATGACAGCAACTTGGAAGAAGAGAGGGACAAAAATCGGAAGACAGCAAACATTAGTAATATCAGATACCACAGGACCAAGGAAAAGAAGGGGATTTGTTAGCAGTTATGGAGAACAAGGTTGAGCAGTAGGCAAATTCTCAAGAACAAGTTTGGACAGGGCATGATGAACGATAGGAGGAAAAAAAAGCAAGTTCAGGGTTAAGACTTGGAGGAACATCAGGAAATTAAGCCTGAAAGGCAAGTGGAAAGGAGAGAATTGGTAGAGGCAGCTGATTGGATGGTCTCAAATGTATTGACAAAGAACTCCCCAAGCTCCTTCCAGTATGGTGAAGGTGCAGGTATGGGTTATCTGGCCCACTGATTTTGCTCCACCGTTCGAACAGATCATGGCTGATCATTTACCTCTTTAGCAATCTACCCAACTATCCCTACATCCCTTGATGTAATTAGTATCTAGAAAGCTACTGAACTCTGTCTTCAACATGCTCAATGATTGAGCTTCCAATCCCTCTGGGACTTAAGAATTCTGACAATTCACCATTACAGCAATTCAAGAACAAAGAACAAAGAAAATTACAACCCAGGAACAGGCTCTTCGGCCCTCCAAGCCTGCGCCAATCCAGATCCTCTATCTAAACCTGTCGCCTATTTTCCAAGGATCTGTATCCCTCTGCTCCCTGCCCATTCATGTATCTGTCGAGATACATCGTAAATGACGCTATCCTATCCGCCTCTACCACCTCCGCTGGCAACATGTTCCAGACACCCACCACCCTCTGCATAAAGAACTTTCCACGCATATCTCCCTTAAACTTTACCCCTCTCATCTTGAAATCGTGACCCCTAGTAATGGAGTCCTCCACTCTGGGAAAAAGCTGCTTGCTACCCACCCTGTCTATATCTCTCATGATTTTGTAGACCTCAATCAGGTACCCCCTCAACCTCCGTCTTTCTAATGTAAATAATCCTAATCTACTCAACCTCTCTTCATAGCTAGCACCCTCCATACCAGGCAACATCCTGGTGAACCTCCTCTGCACCCTCTCCAAAGCATCCACATCCTTTCGGTAATGTGGTGACCAAAACTGTACGCAGTATTCCAAATGTGGTTGAACCAAAGTCCTATACAACTGCAACATGACCTGTCAACTCTTGTACTCAATACCCCATCCGATGAATGAAAGCATGCCGTATGCCTTCTTGACCACTCTATCCACCTGCGTACAATGGACCTGAACACCCAGATCTCTCTGTGCATCAATTTTCCCCAGGGCTTTTCCATTTACCGTATAGTTCGCTCTTGAATTGGATCTTCCAAAATGCATCACCTCGCATTTGCCAGGATTGAACTCCCATCTGCCATTTCTCCGCCCAACTCGCCAATCTATCTATATTCTGCCGCATTCTCCGACAGTCCCCTTCACTATCTGCTACTCCACCAATCTTAGTGTCATCTGCAAACTTGCTAATCAGACCATCTATACCTTCCTCCAGATCATTTATTTATATCACAAACAACAGTGGTCCCAACACAGATCCCTGTGGAACACCACTGGTCACAGTTCTCCATTTTGAGAAACTCCCTTCCACTACAACTCTCTGTCTCCTGTTGCCCAGCCAGTTCACTATCCATCGAGCTAGTACACCC